AACACTCCAAGCACATGCATACGAGAGGACCACAATCCCCTCTGGCTTCTTGCATTTGTTGTGGCGCGGTCTCGTCTCTGATAACTGTAATATTGAACTTCTTTGGCTTCTTGTTTCCAGAATAAGTCCAATAATTAATCGCATCCAAGAATTTAGCCAAATGAGAGCTCCATCCCTTAATAATATCTCTCAAATAAGACAATGATATGTAATTTATCATGCTGTCATATACTATTATCTTCAGGGATGGAAGCTGAAGCTCAACGAGAAGCCAATGAGTACGTTCCAAAACAGGGATAAACACCTACAATCATAAGTAATAATTCAATTGCGCACTTATTTATAAACACCTTTAAAATATTTAAAAAATAAATACTAACCTTATCGATCTCCCACCATGCAGGATAAAGTTTAGCTTGTCCATTAGCCAACACATATGATTCCTGTCGTTGATTCTTCATGTGAACTACGTGAAAAGACGTCGGTATAATTGTATATAGCATATTTTTTTTTCTTGATTTTCCTTATTATTAGAAGACGTGACACCCATGCATCAATATTTTGTTTACAAAAAAAGACATATATTAGTGAATTACATAAATTTAAAAAACATTAATCAAAATGAATTATAAGAAGAAATATATAAGACTTACCCCCCCATCGAAATAGCCATTGTCTTCAACCCCTAATAACACACCCCACCAAGACCGATCAATCAACAAATGCATATCATCGTTGAGTTTGTATATGTCAGCGTAACACCCCTGGCTCTGCTCATGTAGATAAAAATCAACTGCGGTCTTAGCCCAAAGGGTATTATCCAGAATTGTTTCCGGTAGTTTTTTCCTCTCCACTTCATCTGCCGGAATGGTACTGGCCGGTAACTTATACGAAATCCAACAATCATCCATTATGTCTAGCACAGGAGGGGGTTTCTCAATAATTTGATATAATATGTCGTGTGAATCGGGCTCTAGAATGTTGGGAGGGACCTCTTCAACGATGATAGGGGCCTCTTGAATGGTGGGAGGGGACTCTTGAGGGATGATAGGGGCCTCTTGAATGATAGGAGAGGCCTCTTGAACGATGACAGGTGAGTCGGGCTTCTTCTTACGGAGTCTTAGCAGTATTGGGGTTAACGGAGACTTAATGGCACGTGCACGCCGCCTGATGCGTGAACCCCGTCGTGCAAGAAAAACCCAACGTAAAGCATCCACCTTATCAGGCCGCTAAAAATAAATTAATACATAAAATCAGTAAATAAACAGACATGATATTAAACAGTGAAAACAAAGACAAATATGTTTCAAACTTGCACGGTATTCACCCAAGTCATTATTCTATCATAGTTCACAAAATGCATCAGATAACATTCCGGAAGTAAGCACTTATATAAACATTTAAAAGGACAACATATAGGTTTAGTGCATGTTCAAGGACAACATAAAGGGTAGTAGTTTATTCTTCAAACTTAAATTTGCAACACTGTGAAGTTAGTATTTGTCTTTGTCTTTTGGTTGAAGTAATGCAATTCATTCAAGTTTCAATTTGCAGAAGAAGAATAGTTTCTGAAACTTAAAATCGCAACATGAAACTTAAAATCGCAACACGAAAATGATTATCGCAACGCGAATTTGACTATCGCAACGCGAATTTGACTATCGCAACGTGAAATGACTATCGCAACGAGAAAATCGCAACGCGAAACCAAAATCGCAACGCGAAACTAAATTCACGTTGCGATAGTCATTTTCACATTGCGATTATCCCATTGCGATAGTCAAATTCGCGTTGCGATGCGATAGTCATTTCCGCGTTGCAATAGTCGTTTTCGCATTCCGATTATCCCGTTGCGATAATCAAATTCGCGTTGCGGTAATCATTTTCGTGTTGCGACTATTCTTCTTCTGCAAATTGAAACTTGAATGGATTGCACTACTTCAACCAAAAGACAAAGACAAATACTAACTTCACAGTGTTGCAAATTTAAGTTTGAAGAATAAACTACTACCGAATGAATTTACTAAGCAATCCAAAAGACAAATATGAATTTACTAACTTCAACCAAAAGATAAAACAAAGACAAATACTAAGTTATTTTAGAATTGTTTAGCAGTATTGGCAGCAACCGAATGAATTTACTAAGCAATCCAAGTGAAATGGTTAATCTAAGTGAAATTACGAGTAAATCAAGTTAAATGAAAAATCTTAAACTTACCTCGTTGTGTAGAGTATGAACCTCATTCTACAACGATACTACCATCTCACGTAGAGCCGCTACCTCACCACGTAAAGTAGATACCTCCTCACGCCATTCACCATTGTCATCACGTAAAGTACTGACTTCCTCACGCAAGGCATTGACCTCATCACGTAACTCCCCTAACTCATCCCGTGGAGGTGGAGAACAGGGAGATAAATGTTGTGGCATCTTTGCCGGTCGCCTATCATGAGGTGATGGTGGAGAAGAGGCTCGATGATGTGACAGAATAGGTGATGGCTCTCGTTGTAGAGGTGTATAGTGTGGTCGATCAGGTGATGTCTCTGGGTGAGGTGATGGCTCTCGAAGTGGAGGCTGCTCATCATTCGTGCCATCAAAAAAACGCTTACTAGCTTGCCACCAATGTGTCAGCCTCTGTAATGGAGTGTTGGCCTCCTAACAATATAAAAGCTCAAATAAAGTTAAACGTGTACTAGTAATAACTTGTTTATATATGGTAATATTTGTGTTAACTTACATCATTTATTGTCGTATACCGTAGTAACTCTTCCCAAATCAACAGCCGATGTTTCCTCTTCTAGGAAATATCCCTAGGAATATCATTTGAATGCATATGTCTGCATGTCGGGAAAACCTCAAATATCCAAATCTACAAACAATATAATACACAAACATTAGTAATTGTTAAAATAATTAATTATAATTTTGGAAACATTATATAGAAATTCTTACCTTAAAGGCCCAAATAAAACTTGACAAAGTGTATTTGGAACCATTGCCACGCAAATTTTTGCGGTCATCAAAGGCAGACGACAACTTATTCCAGGTAGCTTTCCATAGATACGAACCCCACAGAAATAGGTTTCATGCATTTAGGTCCTCTACCAATAATATTAGGTCCTTAGGAATAGGTTGTCTGCCCTCTCTACCTAAAAAGCCGGCATGCAAAAGTACTAAAAGGCATACTCGGACAACATCGACGTCATCCATCCGAGTAAAACCATCTTTCTTATTAAATAATCTCGTCAAGTCGTCGATGTGTAAATTCGGCTTCTCCATTGACAGCTCAGGAAAAACCCGGGATAACCATGATGGGCGGGTAATATGACTAGTGTATCGACCTACATCATCGTGTTCGAAGCGTAGACCAGTGATTAAGCAAAACTCCTCCCACCCAAAACACGTATACGCCGGTGGAAAATGAAACCGTATCTCTTCATTACCACGTTCTATACTTTCGGGTAGATCACGTGTCATGGTCTGAAGCCACAAATGGGTTAACATAGCATCTCCACCCGGATGTTGTACTTTCAGCCATGGCCCGAAGCAAGTATCCTCAAACAATTGTCTTTGTACAGGTGAAAGCTTCGACGCAATTGTAGTGACTAGGCTTATTTTATTCCTTAAGGTCAATTGAGCCGAAAAAAAGTTCTACAAAAATAATAAACATACCAAGTTAGATATACCAAAAACTACACTGTGAAGATATACCAAAAACAATAATAAACATAAAGCGTAGTAGTTTATTCTTCAAACTTAATTTTGCAACACTGTGAATTTCGTATTTGTCTTTGTTTTTTGGTTGAAGTAATGCAATTCATTCAAGTTTCAATTTGCATAAGAAGAATAGTTTCTGAAACTTAAAATCGCAACACGAAAATGAAAAATCGCAACACGAAAATGAAAATCGCAACGCGAAAATGATTATCGCAACGCGAATTTGACTATCGCATCGAGATAATCGCAACGCGAAATGGCTATCGCAACGCGAATTTTGTCGTTGCGATTTTCAGTTCGCGTTGCGATTCTCGGTTTCAAATGGTCATTGTCTAAAATTGAAACTTGAATGAATTGCATTACTTCAACCAAAAGACAAAACAAAGATAAATACTAACTTCACATGGTTAAAGATTAAACAGTAGTAGTATTGGCATCAATCTATTATTGAAATTACCAGTAAACTTATCATTAATTTCAATATGAAAAACCTAATAATAATGCAAAAATTTCAAAATAAAAATAATTAAAAAAATTAACCCTCGGTGGTTGATTTTTCATTTCTGATCGTGAATGATTGTGAGGGTGGCTCTGAGAGATGGAGATAGACGGATTTCGCCGAAGATGGGGATAGATTTCGCCGGAAATTGGGACAGATTTCGTCGGAGATGGAGACGGATGTCGCCGTAGAGAGTAAGAGATGGAGATGAGATTGAATTGTGATTTAGGGTTTTAGGTTAAGAGTTGCGATTACGGGTAAATATTCGTGTTTGGAATTTGAAAATAAAATACGCGTTGCGATACTAATGGCGCTTTGAAAATCGTATTGCGATTTTATATTATCGCAACGCGATAGTCAGAATCTCGTTGCGATAGTCAGAATCGCGTTGCGATCACGTATTATCGCGTTGCGATAGTCCGAATCGCGTTGCGATAGTCAGAATCGTTTCGAGATCAAGTGTTATCGCGTTGCGATTTACATATTCGCATTGCGATTTACATATTCACATTACGATTATCTAAAATCGCAACGCGGATTTCGAAAATCGCAATACGATGGTCAAAATCGCGTTGCGAATATGAAAACTGAATTACGATAATGGAGATCGCGTTACGATTTAGAGATCGCATTGCGATTTTGTTGGTCATTTTGACAAATCGTAAAAAAATTAATTAAAATCATATATTATAAGGAATTTTCGGTCACTAAATCCTCTAGATAATGTGTTAGAATTTTTTATTGCAAAAAATCAGCCTTCTAAAATCAGTAACTTAAGACAAAGCATTGAACAAGTATCTTTTTGAATCAACTCTCTCTCGATCAAGCAATATCTCGATGCAACAAGGACTTTCCTGCAACTAAAAAACCCTTTGATTCAAAAACAAAACTCTGGGCCTTTCGATTTCTGCTTCCTCCATCAGTATTTAATAAAAAACCGAAGCTTTTTTTTTTGTTGTTTGTGGAGGATGAGGAAGAGGGAGAGGGAAAATCCATGTGGGGTATGCGGGCACTATCACAAGTACGAGGAAGGGGAAGTTTGTGGGATTTGTGGGCACCGACCTCCCGTTTCTTCCAATAGAACATCGCTTCAACTCGGTGCTTTTCCATCGGTGATCTTGCCTGACTTTCTCTATTTGGGTAGCTACGATAACGCCTCTCGCTCTGAGCTTCTCAAGACTCAAGGGATCACTCGCGTCCTTAATGTCAGTCCCTTTCTTCTTCTTATTCCTCTTCTTTTCTTTTCATTGCTATTTGTGTTTCTTTATAGTATTAATACCAACTTATTATTATTTCTTTTGATGTTAGGCTTATGGATTTGGTGAATACAAATAATTTAGACAAAAGTTTATTTATGATTGTTTACTGATTGGAATAAGATAGAGATGGTTTTTGTGTTTTTTTATGTTAAGGTTTCTATTATGCTTTTTTTACTTTGATGGGAATTATTCTTTTTAATCATTTGGAATGTAGTATTGGGGATTGTGTTAAACTAATTCTTTGTATGGGGAACATCTTGTAACTTTATTGATCTATAAAATCCCTATGTCAGTTTTCCTGTAGAAGTCTTACTGTTATATGGGGGATTAGGGATGTGAAGGAAAGATCGTTGCAACTTTCAGAATTAGAGTGGATTTATACTGAGACTCTAGGTGAAGCCTTGACCTTTTGGCTAAACTCGTGGATGAGTTAAACTGGTTTTTTTCTATCTCGAGTTAGAAACATAGGGAAGTTTAGAATCAAATGTATGATTTTGGCGAAAGGCAAAACCAGAACAGGATGTGCAGGTGCGATTGAGTAAAGTTAGAACTAGAATAATAGTAAGGTTGATGGTCATACAGTCCAAAGAGCAATTGTTTTCTTTTTCAGTCTTGAGTGTTAAAAGGAGAATCTGATGGCGGTATCAGATATTTAAGTGAAGTAAGATTTTTGTGGTGTTTACTTGAGAACTTTTAGATAGGATAATTGTTGTTTCCATTTTCTTGGGTATATAGGAATAGAATGGCGAACAGCTCAAAGATAAAGTGGTGAATGATGTCCAGAATTAAACCTTTCACGGTATTGGATCTAATTTACCATAACTAGAGAGTAGTAGATGCATTGTAGCGCCATTTTACCTCAGTGACGATATTTCCATTTGACAGTAAATTAAGATTCTATAAAAGCCATCATACATTTAGAATTAACCAGCGGTGGCAAAGCAGAGCAGCCAGTAAAAAGCCTGTTTGTTAAATGTACACATTGTAGAATTTTATGGATTCTGTTTTCTTTTTCTAAGGGCACAGAACTGAATTTTATTTGAATGGGTCAAAGATTAAGAGTTATTATTATCAAAGAATGATGGCATATTTATGTTTTGAACCTAATTTAATTGATACTATAGTAGGAATGAGGAGAATCTGGGATTAACTTTGTTGGCTGGAGAGTTATTTTTTTCATGTTGTGGAATCGTACATTTAAACTTAACAAATAGATAGTACTATCATCCAATTGCTATCGGTGATGCAATTGAAAGATGCTTGATGTGGTTGGTTTAAGAAGAAAAACAGCAACAATTGAAAGAAATAAGGCTGAACAAACAATTAGGAAATAAGATGGAACTTTAGAAAATTTAGGGTTTTAAAAAACCTCTAATTTCTTTATAAAAATTCAATAAAATAATAAGAATGAGCTGTACTAAGTAGAGAGAGAATGAGTGCGACTGGTAGAGAGAGGATTAGAGAAAATTTGAAAAAGTTCATTGCTTCCGGTGAGGAATGGACAGTGTTCATTGATAATCTTAGTAAGAGGGTCTCAAGACGCGTGTTATGGGATTTTTTTAGTCCCTATGGTCAGATTTTAAGAATATTCATTCCACGGTTTTTAGAGAAATCAAATTACAAGTTCTCGACGTTTGCTTTTATCCAATTTACTGATGAGGAAAGTAGGAAGAGAGCTATCCAGTATGTGAATGGGAAGTGGTTTGATGGGAGGAAAATATCTGTAGGGGTTGCTAAGTATCAAAAGGTAAATAGGAAGGAGGTTGTTGATGGGAAGAGTTCGTTGATGATCAAGTCAAGAAAGCAGGATTTGGCTCAGAATGGGGTAATGGGACAGTCGATGAAAAGCTTTAGGGATGGTAGATCGTATAAGGAATTAGTGAAGTCTGATGTTAGCAGGAGAAGAGAACAAGAGCCAGAGATTAATGTAGAGGGTAGTAAACGAAAAGCTACTGGTGTGAGAAATGTGTGGGAGATGCATATTTCGACAAACAATTCGGAATGGGTTAAACGATCATTAACAGGTATAATGAAATCATCTTATGAGTACGAGTCGATAAAAAAAGCTTTGGAGTTGGAGGGATTGAGAGTTCAGGTGTCGAGATGGGGATATGCTTGGAGGCTTGCATCATCACTTTTGCCTCGGTTGATGAATTCTCTTATGTTTGGGAGAATAAGATGGAAGAGTTGTCCTTGTGTTTCAATTGGTTAGCTCCGGTATTAAATGAGAATGGAATACCTTTGTCTTTGTGCCAGATAGAATTGTGTGGTTTGCCTCTACTGTGCTGGAATGAGGCTTTCTTGGAGAAACTTATAGGGAAATGGGGAAGGTTCATTTGTTTCAAGGATGAATCAAAGTATAGGTATGATCTCTCGTCTGCAAAGGTTTTGCTCAGGGTGGAGAGTCCATTCGATGTTCCTGAAACAGTTACTATATGCTCTTATGGTAGATCTTTCAAAGTTAAGATTTCCATGGGGTCTGTGTTGATTCAGCCGAAGGAGTTGGGGAAGAAGATGGATGAGAAAATTTCAAATAAGTTTAACAGTGATTACGTCTTATCTGAGGCAGGGGATGATTGTGTTCTTGCTTATAATATAAAATGGATTGGAGATAAATTCATTCTTCAGCCCAATTTCAGTTCAGCTATTCCTAGGAATTCTGAAGAAGATGTTGAGCCTAGGCGAGTAACAATAATTTCAGGGGGGAAAAGGATCTGGTGCAAGGTGAACAGAGTGTGGACTTGGTTGTGGAGCAGTCGGGTGGGCAGAGGAGTATACAGGAGGATCTTGTTTTAGGTCCTTATAGGCAGAATAATTTTCAAAGGGATAGCGTATCAGGTGTCCAAGAGGTTGATTCAAAGAAGAGGAAGGAGGTTATGGAGGATTTCCAGGGCAGTTTTAAGGAGGGTAGTGTTTCTAATTTGAGTGTCAGAGAACGAATCTCGGTTTTAAGAGATAGAACCAGTTCAGGATTAATGGTGGGTGACAGAAATTTAGTTAAGGAGAGCAATTTGGATTCTTCAAGATATTCTATTCAGGACATTTTTCGGGCAAAAAATTCAATGAATTGGAGAAGGTTAAGAATTGCACCATGTCACTCGGGTAGTGTGTGCTTGGAGGTCGAAGTGGAGGTGAGCTTTTATGATAGAGTTTATAGGAGGGTGATTAATAGTATGGTCAGGGAATCCTTGGAGCAGGTCAGGGAGGTCTCTCAGCCTTCTCAAGAGTATGTTCAAGCCAGAGCCGAAGCGGCAGCTACTAGGGAAGTATGTGACATGCTGGGAATTTCTTTTAAAGGGGGGCAACAGATTTTAGAAGAAGAGATTTTCAGGATGGAGATGTTGGGGTCTGGAAAGGGATCCTGACTATAATTTGAGGATTGATTTTGGTGTTGTATGATATTAAATCAAATGTCAAAAATAAAAATTATTACATGGAATATTAGGGGGCTGGGAAAACTGAAAAAATCAGAGCAGTGTCAAGATTGGTTTATAGAGAAAAGCCGGTCATTTTGCTATTACAGGAAACAAAACTGAATGTTTGTCGAAGTGGATTAATGAGAAAGTTTGGGGGTAATCGGCTCGGAGGTAGTTGTGTTATTCCAGCTGATGGTTCTGCAAGTGGTTTGATGTGTTTGTGGAATGAGAATCTTTTTGAGGTCAGGGATCAACATAACCACAGTAGGTTTATGGCACTAACAGGGAAGTTCAAGATGAGCAATTTTGAATGTGTCATTATTAATGTGTATGGTCCATCAGTAGAGGCTGAAAAAGAGGAATTTTTCAGGGATTTTTTGTGTTTTGTGCAAAGTTTGAATATGTCAGTTTGCATGGGGGGATTTCAATGCTTATCTGGCTCCTGAGGAGAAATGTGGGTTTACACAAAATTGGCATTCTATGGATCTGTTTAGGTCTTTTATTTAGTTATATAATTTGATGGATTTACCGTTAGTAGGGGGAGATTCACATGGTGTAATAATCGAGAGTCATCCACTTGGGTAAGGCTTGATAGATTTTTGTTAAGTGGTTCATTTTTAAATCAATTCCCTAATGTGATCCAAAAAATGCTTCCCAAATCCCTATCGGATCACAATCCAGTTCTGCTTGTAGAAGAATGTAATAATTGGGGTCCTAAGCCGTTTAGGTTTTACAACTACTTGCTTGAGGAAGATGGGTTTCTGGGGTGGTGGAAAAATCAGTTTCAAATCAGAGGAAGGTCAATAGTGGTAGGCGTTTGTTTTCTCTTCTTAGAGGAACTAAGCAGGTCATTAGGAATTGGCCAAGGAGTAATCATAGGGGACTCTGACGATATTTCAGAATTAGAAGCAAGAATTAATGGACTGGAGTTGAAAATACAGGGAGGGGGGATTTCTTCTCAAGAAAGGGAACTGCTTGTTTTTTCTCGAGGAATGAGCTATGGAATTTGCATAGGAAGGAGGAGAGGATTTGGCAAAAAAGGTCCAGAGTGAAATGGAGTATTAAGGGGGAGAGAAACACAAGGTTCTTTCATCTGTGTGCACTGAATAGGAATAGAATTAACACCATTTCACCCGGAACAGCTAAGAGGCTTCGTTTTTTATTATTTCAAGGACAATTATAATTCGAAATCAACTCTAGAGGTGGATGTAATGGACTTGAATTTTGCTAAACTGACAGATGATCAAAAAAATATTCTTGAAGTTAAATTCTCAGAACAGGAAGCGTGAAAGGCGGTTTTTCACTCGGATAGTGCCAAAGCACCGGGGCCAGATGGTTACACCATTGGTTTCTTTAAGAAATTCTGGTCAACTTTGAAGCCACATATTATGAAATTTGTTGAAGATTTTTATAACGGAAGGAATTGGGAGCATGGGGTCAACCATGCATTTCTAACGTTGATTCCCAAGATTAGAAATCCTGAAGGTATCGAAGATTATAGACCAATAAGCTTAGTCGGCAGCCTGTATAAAATAATTTCTAAAATCCTATCTAGAAGGCTTGTGTCTGTTATTAAAGATTTAGTTAGTCCATCACAGTTTGCCTTCATTCCTGGAAGACAGCTGCTGGATTGTGCCTTTTTGGCTAATGAAGTTATAGATTTCTGGAGGAAAAAAGGGAGAAAAGGTGTTGTCTTCAAGGTGGATTTTCGAAGAGCTTATGATTCGGTGGAATGGCCGATTTTGTTAAGACTTCTGAGAATTATGGGTTTTGGAGATAGGTGGATTTCATGGATAGATTTGTGCATTTCCTCTGCCTCTATCTTAGTTCTAGTCAATGGTTCTTCGACTAATGAATTCAAGTTGGGGAAAGGGTTGAGACAAGGTTGCAGTTTGTCTCCTCTGTTGTTTAATAATGTTAGGGAACTACTGAATTTAATGTTGATTAAGGCTGCTGATTGTGCTCTGTTTGAAGGGTTCAGTGTTGGTAGGGAGGATAATTTGTTTCATTTGACGCACTTGCAGTTCGCAGATGACTTAATTCTATTATGCAGAGACTCACATACTCAGATTCTGAATATTAGGAGAGTATTGAGGATTTTCAGTTTAATGACAGGCCTCCATCTTAATTTGTCCAAGAGTAAGTTGTTTGGTGTTAATTTGGATGATTATGTTCTAAAGGAATGGGCTTATAGTGCAGGATGTGGTGTGGGGGCTTTTTTATGACATACCTTGGGTTACCGATTGGTACCACCAGAAATTCAGAAGTGTTGTGGGAACCAGTACTGCAAAAGTTCAGCAGCAAATTATCAGGCTGGAAAGCTACTTCATTATCGATGGCAAGGAGATTACTGTTGGTGAAGTCTGTTTTGTCGTCCTTGCCTATTTTTTACCTTTCGATTTTCAAAATTCCTTCAAATATAAATCAGAAGTTGAATTCTTTGATGGCTAAATTCCTTTTGGGGGATGGTCAGATGAAGAAACAGATTCATTGGGTAAATTGAAAAACAATGTGTCAACCGTATGAGGACGGTGGTTTGGGAGTTCTGGACTTGTCTTTGACCAATAGAGTGCTACTTGGGAAGTGGGTTTGGAAGTTTGCGAATGAGAAAGATTCACAGTGGAAGAAGATGATCTGTTGCAAGCACAATATCAATAACTTATCTCTATCAATTAATAAGGCTACTAATCCTCATGATTCATGGATATGGAGAGGAATTCTGAATAATTATGAGAAGAATGATGAAATTGGGAATTGTTTGAGGTCAAATTCAAAGATTCAAGTGGGAAATGGTAGATCAATTGAATTCTGGAATGATGTTTGGGTTAATAATTTTACTTTAAAAGAACAATTCCCTAGGATTTATGCCTTATCGATTAATAAAAGGGGATTAGTTTGGACTTTGGCTGTCATGAAAATAATTGTTGGGTTTGGAATATCCGATTAAGGAGGAATTTATGCGACTGGGAATTGGAGCAATGGATTTCTCTAATGACTTTGATTGATAATATTGTTTTGATTGATTCAGTTGATGATTTTCTATCTTGGTCAGGGAATGGAGATGGTTTGTTCTCAGTGAAGGCCTGCAGATCAGCACTTTCACGTAGTTCTGGTGGGATTTTTCAGTGGAACAAATGGGTTTGGACTGGATTGGCTCCTTCGAAAGTTGAAACATTTTTATGGTAACTTTCTCATCAAAACTTAGCTGTTAGAGTGGAGTTGCAGAAAAGAGGTGTCCTCTTTGAAGATTTATTATGTCCTTTATGCAAAAAGGAGGAAGAAACAATTCATCATTTGTTCATTTTATGTCCTGTTGCCTGGGAGTTATGGAATAGGTTCATCATGATATGGGATGTGTCTACTGTTCTGCCCAAAGATCCTATGTTTTTACTCTGTTCTTGGTCTGTTTTAAAGGATTCTTCTTCTATTTGGAATTTTATCCCGGGTGTTGTTTTGTGATCACTATGGAAGGCTAGGAATTTAGTGGTTTTCGAAAATTGGAGTTTTGAGAGCTCTACTCTGTTCTTCATATGCAGATTCAGGCTGGTCAAATGGTTTTTAGCTAAATTTCCTAAGGCTAATATCCAGGTTGATTTATTAATTGGGGATCCTCGGCTTGCAGACAAACTAACAGTTAAATCTCACAAGAGGAAGAAGGATCAATGCTGGTTTCCACCTCCAGCTGATTTTTATAAGTTCAATGTGGATGGGGAGGTTAGAGGCGATGGCTTGCAGGGTGGTATTGGAGGTTTGCTGAAAGATTCGAATGGCTCTATCTTGATTTCCTTTTCTAAGGCTGTGGGACCAGGTCCTCCTTTGCTTGCTGAGTTGAAAGCTATTAAGGAAGGCATGGATTTGTTTCTTAATTTGGGTTGGGTGTTGAAGGGTAGACTTATTCTGGAGAGTGATTGTAAAACAGCAGTGGATTGAATTTTGAGGCCTTTTGATGCCCCGTCGTTTTGTTGTTCTTTGGTTGGGGAAATAGGGGATTTAATTTCGGCTAAGGACATTTTGGTTAGGCTGGTCCCCAGGGCTTGTAATTGGGAGGCAGATAACTTAGCTAAGGAGGGGATTGGTTGAATGTTCTTTTAGTATTTTTGTGGTTATGTTTAGTCTCTTATTTCGGGTGATGTTGTATTTAGAGTCTTATGTAATTTTGGGTTATTAATATATTGAGGTACTTTTTTCCTCCTTCCGCTAATTGCCTCTTCTTAGGAGGCAACTATGAGGGAAGTTTTTAACGAGACCTCCTATTCTATATAAAAAAAATAAGAATGAGTTGTAGCTTTAATATTTTACAGCTTATTTATACTATAGTTACAAATATAACATAATCCTAGCCCTAGAGTTAAAACATAAAGTAAACTTATAATCCTAGCCATCCAAAATATCTCTAATATTTAATAAAACTGAAATAGGTAAATATTATAATAATATAAGCTCTTTTTATTTCCTATCATGTGGTTTGGTCTGTTCCTCTTTGTTGGATGTTGTGACTGCTAAAGTACATATTGAAGGCTGCCTAGCTTTAAAAATTGTAGATTGCTTGTATGGTATATATCCTTATGTTTTTTATTATCTCTCTGCAGACCGTACCTGCTTGTCAAAATCTCTATAAGAATTCATTTGTCTATCACTGCCTGCAAGATGACAAAAGTTTACAATTTGACGATGCAATACAATTTTTAGGTGAGTTAACCTTTGTCTTGCATTTTGAGTCCGTTGTCAAAAGCTTGACTTTGATACCTCCTCTCTTGTGCACGACTTTGGTATTTCCTCTTTCATGCATAGGATTATTTCTTACCTGTGCAAAGTTCATGATGCTGGTTTGAGCAAACTCAACAACATACACACTCTTTTTCGTGTTCTGAGAAGCATTTATTGAGTATTTTCTCTCTTTTTATGTTACATTATGAGGTGCTTAATTTTCTTGATTCCCATCTCAACTATGAGTGTTCTGCTGTCAAATACATGTGCTTTACTGGGCGCTTTATACACTCACAATTTGGATACATGACCGAGATAATTGAGTTTAGGTCTTGAACACTTTTCTCAACTTGGTCTATTTCTTATGGTTTGCTCCGCTTAAATCGTGAAGCCTTTGCTATCCTAGTGAAAATGGCTGTTGGATAGTTTGCTTAGTTAATTAATGTTTGTCAGTCACATTGCAGTAGCTCAGACACTGCCAATTGACATGTATATTTTATTCTCATTGGCATTTTATGACCTGTGCTTCGTTTCTGTATTTGCAGCGCAATGTGAGAGGGATAAGGCTCGAGTCCTTGTGCATTGCATGTCAGGAAAAAATAGGTTGATTTTTACTGCTGCTTCATTCTTTTTTATCCCAGAAAAATTTTGAATGCTCAAAATAGGATTTTCAATTTTGTAAGAACCTAGTTGAGGGTCAAGAATCTCTCCCTTAAGATACCCTGCAGATAAGCATCTGTCCACCTTGTGATTTTGTACACAGTAGATAAACTGCTTTGCATGTTTATGTATACACTTTTTTATTCTTTTTCTTCTTAATAATGTATTTGAGGAAGTTGGGTATTTTACTCCATGAGATGGGATATACGTGCAATGAGCCAAATGCTTGGGGTGCATGTGTATACCCATTTGAACTTTTGAAACTGTTTGCGAGGATGATTATATTCTTTCTGCAGGTCGCCAGCTATTGTAATAGCGTACTTAATGAAGTCTAAAGGATGGCGGCTTCAGCAAAGTTATCAGTGGGTGAAAGAACGGAGATCATCTGTGGAGTTAAGTCAAGGTATTTACCAGCATTGACTTAATTTACCTAATAAGTCGTTATTTTAGTTAAAATTGAATGCCATTACTCATTAGCTTAATTGAAAAGAATATAGGAGTGCCACTTGATATTATTTGTAAGAGGAGAAACGAATATCATGTGGAAGCGGGAAAAGTATGATGCTGCTGAAACTATCATCGATCGGTTTCTGATTTCTGATTGGTTTTTATTAGATTGCATGGGATAGGTGGATAATGTTTCATAGTTTTTAACTGAAGAATCGACTTTTCCTGCAACCCGAGAGAATTCATGAGTAAACTATGTATGATGTGCTTGGGTAAAGTAATTTCTTTGGCAGGATTGAAATTGTGTTCAAGTATCGTAGACTTGTAGTTGTAACTTGTGATGTTTATATTAGAATAACCTTGTAAATCTTGTTCATTTTTTATATTAGACACATACATGCTGGCGTCGACACGTATAACTGTTATTACCTTGTGATCTTCATATGCTGTCTGTGATTCGCAGCTGTCTACCAGCAATTGCAGGAATATGAGCAAAAGCTCTTTGGATCCGAAAGTATCGATCCTGCATTATTCCCACCTGCTGGAGCCCCATCCTTCAACTTTGGTACCTCAAATGATCCAGTTCCTGTTCCGGCTTTCAGTAATGTTGGTGCTACTTCTATTTTTGCCCGCCCGTCTTTAGAAGTGCCTCCTCATGGGTTCACATTTGGTGCAGTTCAGACCCAGAAAAGTATGTCTGACAGCCTTGGGAACCCTAATGCCAGTGATATTCCGATGGACAGCACTTAAACTCCGAGACCGACTTTTATGAGGTTCGGTATGTCATGTGGCTGTAAATTGCGAGTAATTCTCACGTAGTTTTCTGGTCTGTCGGATCCAATGACCATGGTTCTTTCCAAATTTCATATACAAAGATAATTCTCAATAGAATCAATGTGCATTCACTTTGCTTTTCATAATAAAAAACAGTTTATTCCTGAGCAGTAGATTCAGCTTCCTGTCCAAAGATGGTAATATTCTTCTGATCTTCCCTCGAGATGGCCGGCGAGTTTATACTGAAGATTAACTTGCTTTACATAGATCATACGAGTAATATTTGAATGGTCTAGGTGATTGATTATAAAGTAATACGTACTCTGAATCTTTCTTAACTATTAATTACGTATACACATCTTGTGGACGTAGTTAAAAAAAATAGTTGAGATTAAAGTAATTTATTTCCTTTTTCATATATAAAGCCCGAAGATCTTTCGAACCTTGATTTCATTTAATAATCATATAATGTTTATAGTTGTAGGATATCTACAATACAAAATGTTGAGATTTTTTTTAATCATTAATAACACGTTTATAAATATAATTATTCGAATCAGAATTTCTAAAAGAATAAGATTTCCTTCACTCGATTCATTTTAAATTTATATTTGATTATGAACAACAGCAAAATTAATATAAAAACTAGAGCTGACTGCTAAGAATTCAGAAATGCAACAATGAAACAAACACTAAACTCTTCCAAATCCAAACACAAAAACATAAAAGAAAGAAACTAAAACAACTGATAAAAATCAAAAGATTCTAATAGTCTTAGAAATCACGAGAGATCATAGAGCTTCCCGTGATTTTATTCCAATCAAACTAAATTCATCACTAGATTGTTATCTTGACGTTGTCGACGATTTCGAAAGTGTTGTCAAAATCCTCTTCATCTTCGGGTGTATCTTCGCATCGTTCGCTGCCGTGAGCTTGATCATGGCCATGGTTTTGGCACTCCCCGCCCTTGTTATGGTCGGTATTGCTGGGTTTAATTAACAAAAAACACACAATGATTGTGATGAAGCAGAAGACGATCATTCCCCTCGATATGGCCATCGCTTGTTGCTGGTTGATATTTACAGCTAAAAAAGCAGCGACTAAGGTTGTTTTTAATGCGTTGATTGGGGATTTTGGGTTTAATGGAATATTGTTATCTTCTTTTTTTCGCATTTTTGAGGATTTAAATAGTGATTTTGATTTACTATTTGTGGAGTAATTTGATAGTTTATCGTTGAGCTGATCTTCAGGTGGACCATGTAATTTTCAAGTTTTTCAGCGATTAAGAGTCCGATCCGTACATGCCTGTGCCAGGCCTTATATCCTTCCAGCCCAACAACAATCCCTACTAAAACTCTATACCAAAATATTATTTAAAGTAAACTATATATTTAGTTATCAACGATTTCGTTTTAATCATTCAACAATTTTTTTCAAAGTCATATAAAATATTATGTTTTGATTCTATTTTGGTTACTCAACATTAAAAATTTAACAATAATATTGATGTGTCACAATAGGATAATGTTATGTCATCATTGAAAAAATAAAAAAATTATCATGTCAATAGTTTTTGTTTTTGTTTTTAATGGTGGGTAATCAAAATAGAATAAAAATATAACATTATGTATGATTTTGAAAAATAAATAATTAGATAACTAAAACAAAATCACAAGTAAGTAGATAACTAAATACGTAATTTATCTATTATATTATTGTTCAAGTCAAGCTTTAATATATATATGTATGTATGTATATTGTGATTGATTTAGTCTTTAATATTGATACTTTTATTAATTTAATTTTAAATTTTTAAAGTAAATTTGATTATCAACTTTCTAAAAGTAATTTTTTAAAAATGTTGACGAGGACATCATTAAATTACTTTTTGAAGTAAATTGATATTAGATCTTAATATTTAAGATAAAGTGATGGGCATCATTAAATTACTTTTTAATATATATTTTTATGAAGTTCAATTTGTGGAAAGAAAAGTCAGAAACTAAACTTTGACTTTAAATGGATAGAGGGGATGGATAGGTAGTCATTCCCTAAAAATTTAAAATGATTATATATTTAAAATTTTATGTATTTTTTTATTAAAAATATGTTTTCACATTCTCTAGAATTTTATAAATTCATTCTCTCTTAAAATTTTAGAAATTCGTCCCTTTGAAATAAAATTTTGTATCTTTAAACCTAAAGAATCAAGTTGGAAATAAGTAAAGGAATCAATGGGGTTCAATGTTCCTACCACATAGAAGCAACCATAATTATTATTGTCCTTACATATCATGAGAATTGAGAACGTTTGTAGAGCAGTACTAGAATGAGATCGGATCTTGAATAAGAGAATACAATTATAGTTATGTATAGGCTTTCGTGCCTTGTCATCGTTTCCCTTAATAACATGCCGCTGATATTTTGAGATATTTGTTTGTCTTCTTAATTGTGGTTTAGTGTGTTCACCGTTTAACTAAAATTAGGGAGCGTGAGCAATAACTAATTGATTTAGTAGAATGAAACAATCAATTTCTCACGTAAAGTTAGTTATTCAAATTTTGGTGTTTATAAATAGAGCAAATTAGATTGAGAGAGTTGTTTCCATAATGAGTCTCTGTAAAATTTTATCCGAATTAATCGAACAATAACTCTAATATAGATAGTTAAGCTAAAAAATTTAGAGAACGGCGATTTTTTTTACATTTCCACCTTTATACCAGTGCCAATTCGTTGCATAGAACAGAACACTACATCTGAGACATTGAACTTTTGGTGGCACAAATAGTTTTCAAACATAGCCTGTCTCCACATTCTTCTTAGAGCGTTACTAAATGTTTAATAAAAACTAACCTTCGGTATTAAATTTCTTAATTAACATATCATGTAATGACGGAACAAAGCGAATGTATTCCACCAAAGCTTGAATTTCCCGTAACTCAATTCATGATCACACAATGAACGCCCCAAAAATGAGTCCCATTCACTATGGTCCATCGACCCCTTCATATATATAATATATGCAGACTCCTTTTTCTCATCTCATCTCATTCTTTCTTTCTTCTTCTTTTTCTCTTCATCCAAACAAGAGCTAAAATCAAAGACTTTTCATTTCTTCATCTTCTTCACCCCATCCGAAAATATAAGGTAAGAGTCATGAGTCATGAGTCATAACCCTTAGATCATAAACTCTAAGATGAACTCACCATCTTCTTCAATGGTGACCATGAACTAATTTTGGATTTTGGGAGAGTTTAAACTCCAAGAGCTTCCTCTCACATTTTCTATTCGATTTTCATGTAATTTAATTGTTGTTTAACAACTGACAATCATCCTTTTCATGTTGGAATTGTTGATGACTTTTAATTGGTGGACGGGGGTGCAATGAACCCTCAAAGGAGAAAGGTCAAGGAAAGTTTGATTCTATGGTAAGCAAGAGAGGTTTTTGGGTTACTAGGAGTTGAGATAACACACTATAACCCTTCCTTACTACTTATAGTACATAGCATTTAGCATGAATTGCTTGTATGCGATGAAAAAGCACGTGGGAGCTTGCGTGCTTGATTAGTTGTTATGGACGTTTCAAACATTACATTGGTGTTAAAAATGATGTATGATGACCCCTAATGACTTTCTCAAGTTTTAATAATCAATATAGACCTTAAAAAAGTGTTTGAGGTGAGTTTAGGGATGTTTCCCATGTAAACAATTTATTTCTAGGTTGTAGTATCGACACTGGATGAACAATATCGATACTAGATGAATATAAGCAAAAATTAAGTTTTTTTGAGGGTAGTACCTATTGGAAAAAGAGTGAATTTCATTGATGTATTTAATATTTAAATTAAATTAATGTTCCTTTTGAATATTACAAATCAAAAGATATTTTTAATTTGAATATTAGTAGGATAATTATTCTTTGAATATGTCAAATTAAAAGGTATTTGTTACATATTTAACTTTGAATATTAAAGATATTTATATCATTTTGAATATTTCAAATTAAAATAATATATATTTAAGTTTGTATAGTGAAAGTTGACTTTATCTTTTGAATATTTCAAATTAAAAGATATTATTATCTGTTTAAATTTGAATATTAAAAGATATTTAGTTGAAGTAAATCTCTCTTGAAAATCCCCTATAAATATTGAGTTAACCTATTAGGTTAATCAAATTTAGAACAAGTTGAAAAGTTTTCACATCTCAGAATTCAAAAACTTTTACTTTCTTGAAAATTATTCTCTCCTTAGTTTTCCAGTGATTGTCGAATGCAAAGATAGTTTGTGTTCTCTAATGTTGTGCTATTGTAGCTTATCATCTAGTTTTTGCATCATGAGAGACAAACGACCAACGATTTCGAGCACCAAAGGAATGACTGAAAATTTGTGTTAAAGAAACTGTATAGCGACAGACCTTAATTGTTTCTGATCAAAAGATCAATAAAGAAAAGAGTATTTTATTGTTCTATTTATTTTATTTTATTAATAAGTTTAATCTGGTTTGTTTTATCTTTTCATGTGTGATTATGGTCTCGGATTGTTATACTTTTAACATCCTAAGACATGATAAACTCATTCTTTATCATTAATATGTATAATGATATTTGAATATTATTTATCATTATTTTATTCTCTATATTATTCTTTGGATCAACGATTTTGTCCAACAATCTTAAGACAGATTTAATCTTATTTTTCCAAGATGATATAAATTCTTTTGAGTTTAATCATTGTTGTGTACAAGTGAAGAGCAAAAAATTTGGCAAAATAAACATTGAGCAAAAATCAAGAGGAATTTACGCAAACGATAAGTTTCCTTCAATTCTGAATTATAAATTCTAAAATATTTTTTGTAAAGATTTTGCGTTTAATTTTTTTATGTGAGACATGGTTCTACTAGTTTTTTTGCAGGAATTCAAATAATTTTATTTCAAAATCTTTGAAAGGTCTTTGTGGTTGCCCATTTGTGGGGCACACATTGAATTTTGATAGTTCAAGTTTTTGATTAACAACGATGAAATCAATCATGTAGGTGAAATTTAATATTTCCCTTTAATTTGAGATGATTCAAAACTCTTTCTTCTACTTCTTCAATCTAGAACGATTAAGATATCGTAAAATGAGATAACAAATAAATATTTTTCGAGATTTATCTTGCCGTTTTAACGGGT